GGTGAAAACACGAAGGAATACAGCAGGAAGAACAAACCCACATTATTACCTAGAATTTGCTTTCATTGTCCTATGCCCCAACACTGTGAAATAACAACTGGTGTTTATGGTGCATCCCTGCTAGGTGGCCATCCAAATCTGCATGAAAACTTCCAGCATCAAGTAATGCCCATTATCCACCATGACCCTGAGTCACTGTTACACAGCTTTATCTGTTTCAGTTTTTTAAAGTTTTATTTGTTTATATTTTGTGTATTTTGAAAATATTTGAAATGAGCTAGAATCAAGGGCAAGATAAAGTAACAAAACCATTCAAGTATGATTCAGTATGGAGATGGCAATTAGGGAATGCCAGGTAACTGCAGATAAGGGAGGCTATTGTGTTTGAGTAAAGGAAGTAATCTTGAGATTATTGGCAGCAATGGAAAAAAGAGAAACCCAAGGGATTCCCTAAGCCTTCTGATCTAATGCAAGGGAGTAGATCATATTTTTGAGGGCAGCAAATATTCTCCTAACTCTGTTCTATGAGGAATTATCACAGGGCTTTTTATACAATGTATATTTTAAAAGGCATATGGATCGTGGTTCTTTGCCAGATGTTTTACCAGAAATGTGAGCATATTTCTTATAACATCCCTTAATAGAAACTGGATTCTGGGTTTGTTTTTGTTTTTTTTTAATACTAGATAAATACTACTTAACTACTTTCCTAAGTCAATTTTCAGCTGTACTGTCCCAGATGAAAGAGAGATGGAAGTGGTCTCAAAGAAGTGAATTTAATTTTTTTCCACCCCAATGAGAACAATGAATGTCATTGGCAGATTTCCTAGTCAATTCTATTGAGAGAGGAGGGAAATTCACATAGACTGGTCCTTTTGCACAGCTATCCCCAATTTTCTCTGGTTCCAGTTATTTTCCTGTGCAGATCATTGCAAGATAGAACCTCGGGGGCATTTCAGAGGTCTCAGGTTTTGACTGCAGCTCTGGATGCAGTGGAAGAAGTGGGGGGCCCTCCAGAAGCCCTATACGGATCTCAGATACCAAATGCTGGGGATTGAGTGAAAAAGGTAAAGAGATTTGTAGTACCATCTCTTTAGGATCTCCTGCCTCCATAATTTTGCTGTTGTCTTTTGCACAGGAGATAGATATTCTCTGTCAAGTGGAAGCCAGCATTGCAAATCTTTGCAAGTTTTCAAATGATGTCTAAATTGATCCGAGTATGAATCTTTCTGGAGATATGATTACACAAAGTTTAGAAGTAGACTTATTTGTAATATTATGACAGAAATGATCTCAAGTAGTTGTTGTTTTTTAAATAACTCCATAACCAGGATGCTAAGTTGGTAATATTCAATGAGACACTCAGTTCTCAAGAACATTTATCAGAACATGGGTAGCCATGTTATAATCAGATGTTGGCTGGCTGACTGTGGAATTAGAATATAGGGAGGTAGATCAGCTTAATGAATAATGTCATCAATTCAGTTAATTTTATTTTCCATTAGCTAACTGGCATAAAATTCAAATTTCAGATCCTTCATGATGCCTAGAATACAGGCATTTTTTCCCAACCATTCCAAAGGGATCCATATCCTGTAGAAACCTGTTCAGAAATAATTGAATGCAAGAGGTCACCCCACTCACCACTGAGAGTTCCTCCACCTCCATATAGAACTGAGACCAAGCAGGGCCAAGCTTTTCCTCAAAAGCATAGCTATGGATTTGCTCAAGAGCCTAGACATACAGTAGTTGAGCACTAGTGCTCAAGTTTTGTTTAATAAAGTGGAGAACAAACTGTTGGGTTGCAGCAGACCTTAAGCTATATCAGCTGCAGAAGAGATGAAAGCAGAGAGCTGTTCTGAGCTGAAGAGAAACCTGAGTTAGATGGGCATGAGGACAGAATGAGGAGGAGAGGCAGAGCTGGTGGTGGGAGGCGGGCCAAAGACAGCAGCTTTCCTTTACTCTTTCATTTGTTCATTTGCTCATGAGTCAAACACAAAAGGAGTATTCTCTACCCAGGGGGGATTCTTCTAGATGCTGACAGGAACTCTTCCAGATGCTTGGAATAGTATGAGAAAAATACATGAAGTTAAGGCCTGAGTCAAACTGAAATGGGCTTGGAAAAGTAGATTGGGACAAAATTGTGGAGAAATTTGAATGCCAGACTCGAATCTGAGGAATTAGTCTTGATTCTGCAGTCAATGGAGGGGAAGAGGGATCCAATTTTAAATAAGGGAATGACATACATGGAGCCGTGCCAGGATCTATTTAGAAAAGAGAACAGAGCTATGGTGTGAACTTGGGGGTGAGGAGGGCTATCACACTTGTTTATGTTAAAGGTAGTTAGAGCTGGAACTATACGTAGGGATGAAATTACTAGAGGAGAAGAAGTAGAATGGGGAAAAGAGAGAACCTTGGGAAACTCATATTTTAGGACAGGAGGAGCCAAGCTAGAGGAGAGCTGGGGGAAAGGATCAGGGATAGATGCCAAAAAGGAAGTTTTCAGGATATAGAAGCTAATTAGTTAATGGTGCTTTTGTATAACCAAGGAATACAAGGATTGAGAAATGGCTATTTGAATTAGGTGCTGGAAGACCCTTGTGACTTTTAAAAGAGCAGATGAAGGAATAAGTGGAAAATGAGAATTGAAGGCAATAAGTATATTCTACTTTTTCAAGAGTTAGATCATGAAATGAAGGAGAGTAGTCTGAGAGAGCATTAATTTTGTCATTAGAAATTTTTTTGGTTGCAAGTAACAGCAAAAGCAACCCCAGGTTTGCATAACTAAAGAATCTGTGGGGGTAGTTCAGGCTTCAGGCATGGATAGATTCAGGGTTCAATCAACACTCCTGGTATTTCCTGGTTTGACTTTGCTTTTTTGCTGTATGGTGGCTTCTTTTTCAGGATCCCTGTGGTGGCAAGCTAGTTGTATTACCATCAGCCTCATATCTTCCCAAGTTCAAATCCAGTGAAATCAAAAGAGAAGACTTTTACCTAGCTGCTTAAACCAGGTCTTAGAATTAGCTCTGGTTGGGCTTCAGTTGGCTTGATTGGAGTCAAGGGCCCATTCTTGATGGGGATGGAGTTCACTTGTAGGTCCAGGCTTGGAGATGGAGCCCTAAGGAAGCACATGGACCAAGAATGGGAAAGGGCATGGTTCCCTGGAGGAAAATCAAAGAACTCTTGATAGAGAATGAAGAATGGCAGTCGGTAGCAAAATTGAGTGTCCAAACACCAGGTCTGAAAGAAGATAGCTGATTGATCGAGGCCTGGAGCATAAGGGAGGGAATGCAATCAAGGTGCAATGGATGATCTTCTTTTTTTTTTTTTTTTTTTTAACATATAATGTATTATTTGTTTCAGAGGTACAGATCTGTGGTTCAACAGTCTTACACAATTCACAGAGCTCACCATAGCACATACCCTCCCCAGTGTCTATCACCCAGCTATGAAGGGGGCGGAAATCGGAGGGGGAGACGAACCATGAGAGACTATGGACTCTGAAAAACAAACTGAGGGTTCTAGAGGGGAGGGGGTGGGGGGATGGGTTAGCCTGGTGATGGGTATTAAAGAGGGCACGTTCTGCATGGGGCACTGGGTGTTATACGCAAACAATGAATCATGGAACACTACATCAAAAACTAATGATGTAATGTATGGTGATTAACATAACATAATAAAAAAAAGGTACAATGGATGAAATCCATTTCAAAAGAAGGAAGCATTCTCAACTCTGAGATGGAAGAGAAGAAGATAAAAAATGACACATGAACAATTTGATATGTGGGGGGTGGGGAGTTGAGGGTGCATATGCTCAAAAGGTTCAATTTTCAAGGAAACGCTCAAGAGGGAATAGGTAGTATTAATTCTTTTTGAAGAATTATTTATATCTATTGCACCAATTATGACAGTGAATACCCAACAAATAGAAGCTGAAAATGAAATTCTATAGCTAGCCTATCAACTGCTTTCATTTGTTATGCTGTAGACACAATCTTCACAAAGTTTAAGCCTGAATATTTTTGCTTTACATATGTTCTTCCTTACACTTTTAATTGCACGCTAGATGTATCACAAATCACTTAGCAGTTCTACTAGAAAAGACATTTAGCTTGCTTTCGTATTTCATTAGAAGTAATGCTACAATTACTATACACTTAGCTGCTTATTTTTCCTTGAGGTATTTCTGTAGCAAATTTCCCAAGAATGGGTAATTGTGTGAAAGGGAATAAACAATTTGTTCCTCTTAAGCATGCTGCAAAGCCACTTTTCATAAGGTATGTACAATTTTCAGTGCTCCCAGCCATACTGTGGAATTCCTACTTTCATCACACATGAAATATTTTAGACATCTTATTTCATTAATATCTTCGTGATAACAACTACCATAACGTGCTCAGCACTTAATGTGTGTCAGGATGGGTCTACAAACTTGAGTCATGTTAATTCATTTAATTCTCCCAACACCCTGTGAGGGGGAAAACTTATGATCTTTGTTTTTACAGATAAGGAAACTGAGATCAAAGAGGTTTTTAAGTAAAGTGCTAGGAAGCGGTAGAACAGGTATTTGAACCACAGAGACCTGAATCCAGAGCCTGCATGCTCAACCACTAGGTTATATTGCCTTGTGATTGTTTTTGATTACTATTTCCCCAAGTGTTGCTAACAATTTGTAGACATTTGTGTGAGAATTTCATCATGTCCTTTTCTGTAAGATTCTTTTTTGATGGTTCTGTCCCATCAAAAGGGATAAGATAGGGACAATAGTGAGATATTTCTTATGGATTTGGATATCTCAGATGGTCTGAATGTGGAGATTTATTATAATTCTTGCATTTTTTGGTACTCCTTGCCCATATGGGAAGTTCAGAAACTAAGAATTCCATTGCTAAATATTAAAAATAAATGCAGTTGTTTCATCCATCTTGGATACCCCCAGGTCTTTTTTTAGATTCTGATGATTCTATAATTCAACTCTGCCAGTTACCATGGAAACATACCTTCTGGGCCTGCTTGAACATCTGAAATGTGGGTACTGCTTTGATATGATAAGTTTGGGCCAACTCCTGGGAAAGGAAAGAAAAGGCATGAAGTCACAATTTTGGTATCCTCTCTCTATACTGAGCCCGGAACTTGGTGACTTCTCAGGAGGCATGTCTGAAAGCCCAGGGACAGCTAACACTTGATAGATTCTCTTGCCAAGGAATGTCAAAGCTTCTAGGAATGTTACAATAGAAAATGGTTACTCTCTGAATTCCTGAGTTTTCTCCTCCCAGAGCCCTAGGAGAGGGCTGAGAGATGGAGGCCAAAATAGAACAGATGCCAAAGGACTAAACAAGCTCTATTTAAAAGAACTGGTGAAAGATTGCAGAGGGACCCCAGTGGAACCCAATATGGACATAGCACGTTGCAAAAATAAGGAAGAATAAAGGTATCTTTATAACGCACACTTGAGACATGGGGTGATAATGCTCGTCTTGCATGTTAAGTGAGGTTTACGTGTCTCTTTCTTTTAAGCCCTACTTCCCCCTTCACTGCCCATGTTTGTGAAAGATGAACCAAAAGGCAAGAAAGTCTGTCAGAATTCCAATTGTTTTAATCCATTACAATCTGCTTTCAAATGCCAGTTTTTGTTTATCTTGTTCAAGAGTCAAAAGAAAATTAGCCACCCACAGGATCAACAGAACTGGACTTTTCTCTCTAATATACCTATCATTTTATGGGGTGAATCTCTCCCCTGCCACCCATAACACATATGCACACACACACATTAAATTATAATTTTCATGACCACAGCAATGACAACTAATAAATAAATTACTGTTAAAGAAAATTGTGCATTTTGTTTCACCTTAAAAGGGAAAGAGCTATAATCAAAAAGGCAGACAATAATATGTGTTGGTGAGGAGGTGGAGAAATCAGAACCCTCACACACTGCTGGTGGAAATATAAAATGGTGCAGCTGCTTTAGAAAACATTATGCCAGTTTCTCAAAAAGTTAAACATAGAGCTACAACATATCTCAACAATTCCACCCCTAGATATGTACTCAAGAGAAATGAAACTATATACATACATGTTTATACTAGCATTACTCATAAAAGTCAAAAGGTGCAAACAACCCAAATGTCCATCAACAGTTGAATGGCTAAATAAAAGGTGGGGTAGCCATACAATGGAATATTATTCAGCAATAAAAAGGAATAAAATATTGATACATGCTACAACATGGAGGAACCTTGAAAACTCATGCTAAGTGAAAGAAGCTCGTCACAAATGACCACCTATTCGATGATTCCATTTATATGAAATGTTCAGAATAAGCAAATCTATAGACAGAAATAGACTTATGGTTGCCCAGAGTTGGGATAGAAGGAACTGGGGGTGACCACTGGAACTCCAAAAGTAGTCTTTTTTTTTTTGGAGTGGTGAAATGGTCTAAAATTGATGATAGGGATGGTTGCACAACTCTGTGAATATAAAAAAGGACAAAGAGATAATGATCCTAGGTGTATTCTGAATGCATAATATATGATTCAGTGTAAAGGGCACTTAAACACTGTCACATTTTGATGAAGCCTGAAGGAAATGGAGAAATGAAACTTCTATTATGTTCTGGGCACCATGTCATATATCTTATGTATTTTATCTCATTTTATATTCTGTTAAATATTATTTGCCCTGTTTTACAGATGAAGAAACTGAAGTTTATAGGTGATAAGAAGTCACAAAACTATTAAAGAAAAGGATGGGTGGATAATAGATTTTTTAATATTCTAAAGCTCAGATTCAATCCAATATGTGCAAAGATCACTTGTTACTGTTTTTTTTTTTTCTGAGTTATAAATGGACAAATGTTAGGAAGAATAATTTTTCAGAAACTTTGTGTATATTAATAGGGCACATTTTGACTGAGGATATGAGGCTGATTATTTTTGTGGGGGTGAGGAAAGAAGGCTCTAGGGAGGGAAACGAAGGAAAGATTTCTTGGAATTACTTATGTTTAAAAAAAACCCAAAAAGCATAAGATAAAGCAAGAGGAAAGCAAGGTATATTAAAATGTCTGTAATGCATTGAGTTGGGTTTTAGAAACTGATTAATAAATTACTACAAGGGTGAAAGCCACTTTTCACCTTGAGCCCAACACCACCACCTGGTTTTATCTGCACAGAGCAATTCTGCTCAGCAGGATTCTGGGGCAGAGCTCAGAGCAAGTGGAGAAAAATGCTGGGAAGTCTGCCATAGTATGGGAGGGGAGGGGGCAGCAAGAGAGTCACATACTTGATCACATACTTCAAAATTAATACAAAACATACAATAACATTATGAGGAAGTTTACTACCAATCATCAGAAAAAATCATGAAATTCTACTCGACTTAAAATTGATTATATGATCACTGAGGTAGTGTTGTAAATGACACTGCATTTGGATTTTATGTATCCCCATGGAAGGATTTAAGATGCTTACCTGAGAATCATCCACATCCACATTAGCAAACATTACATTTTGGTACTGCAGAGACATTGCCTTCAAAATAAAGGAATAAAAGCTCCCTATTAGCTTAGCGTTAATACTAAATCACACACTAGAATTACACACTTGTCTCTTGGCAAAAACAAACAACGAACAAAAAGGTTGTTCAGGAGAGCTAAGCATCACTCTGGCATTTCACTACGGCCTGGAACTTGAAGCACCAAAGTCAAATATGGGATGACACCAAGGTCAAGGAAAGATCAGTGGCAGAACCAGAGTCTAAAGAACCAGACTGAAGGTCAGAGTTTCGAAGCTGGGAAAGGACAGGATGCAAAGAAATCATGACATGTGTGTGGTGGGTCCAGATTTACTCTGCAGGGTGAAGGGACAGGTAGTAGCTTTGTCCCGGAGTGGCCGGAGGTGGGGGGCTGCCTTCAGTGGTCTTCAAAATACAGATTTCTGAACCAAATACCCAAACTCTGCTTTTACCTTCACCTTTTGCCAGGTTTTTTGAGAGGCCTTTATGACCGAGGTGATACAAAAATATGTGCGCTGACCCCTGGCCTAATTGTTCTTTGCTTCCATTGACATCTTCCATGCTCTACTATGTTTTGAAACTATACTTTCCAGGATGCTTTGTCAGCTGTCTTCCATGTAGGTTCTGCTAATGGGAAGCATTTGCAGGAAAACAGAAGGTGGGAGGAGGAAAGAAGCAACTCTCTTCTGATTCTGTTTTGTTCTGAAAGCATCTTTGGCAGCAATGGTGACAAAGATGTTGATAACGGGTCTGAGAGTAGTGGACGCAGCAGCAGCAGGTAAATGTCAGCTCTTGGGGTTTTTTTTCAGACAGCTGTGTTCATACCTTAAGGACACTTAATAGCATCTTGATTTGTTTGCTTTAACATCCTATCTCAGGCATTTCCAGTGACCTATTTCAAGTGGGACCTCTTTCTGATGGTATGAGGTGTCCAGAGACAGTGGAGACAGGAACAGACGGAGCTTGCACTGGGAGCTGCTCCCACGGAGAAGCAGGGAGAAGCATGACATGGGGACATTAGGTGGATATGTGCAGAGTTCTGTTGTAGGGATTCTCTCCAGTTGTTTGTCCGTGGGTTGTGACCGAAGTGGGAGTTCTTTCTTCAGCGACCCATCAAGGTTGTGAAAATGGGGAAAAACTCTTAGATAATAGACCCAAAAGCCTCTGGGATTTCAGAGTATTTTTCAGACAGAAAAGAAGCTGATTTTGGTCAGCAGCATCTCTATGTCTGGCAGGAAAATGGTATCACCCACGAACTCTAGGGCAATTGACTTGCACTTTTAGAGTTTGAAGATATATGGATGTTCCCTAGTAAGAGTCATAGGAATGAGTTTCACCTATGTGGACATCTAATTGTATTTATGACATTTTCAGAACCTCACAAGTCTGTCAGGAAATGGATAGGGTTATGGCAGTTGCCATTTTTGCATCAAGTAGTACATATACATGGGATAGATACAGGTTCTTTGCTAGGTTGGGGTTCCCCTATGGACATTGCCTTTCCTCATTACCCCTTTCCATCCACCTAGGACCCCATCCCCAACCCCAACCATTCTTCCTTCTGCTCTGTTCTTCCTCGTATGTAGTCTGCTACCATTTGGTCACCTATTCTGTTGGTCTTAACTCTTAATTATCTCCTGAATTTGATCTTTCCTTTTTTCTCCAAAACCACTGCCCTAGTTTTGGAAAACCTATCACTGAGATTGTTGTCACCTTGGGTTACCTGCTTTCAGTCTTTCTAATCCATTTGTATACAGCATGGCTAAAAATATTCTCTACAAACCTCCATTTGACCATGGCAAAACCCTTTTTAAAATTCTCCTATCTACAGCAACTCATTAAATTATAACATAAGGTCCTTCTTGATTTGGCCTCAACTTTCCATTTGAAGCTCATTTGTCACCACTCCCACCGTGTACACTTAAGTTAGCCTCACAGACTATTTGTCTTCCCATGATCATACCATGCAATTTCTCAACAAATATATAACTTCTCCTTTCCCAGAAGTGCTCTTTTCAGGGTGTTATGCCTGGTGATCCTCTTCACCCAGGGTCAGCAAACTGCACCCTGTAGAACAAAGCCAGGTCTCCACATGGTCTTGTAAATTAAATCTTATTGGAACACGGTTTGCCTGTTCATTTGTGCATTGCCACTGGATGCTTCTGCACTTCAACAGCGAAGCTGAGTAGTTATCACAGAGACCACAGGGCTCGCAAACTTGAAAATATTGACTGCCTTGTCCTTTTACAGAAGTTTAGCTGGCTAACTTCCATTCCACCTTCCTGCAAAGCCTGGGAAGGCAAAGGGTCCCTTGCAGCTAGAGTTCTGGATGCAAATTGGTTTTACCATTAGATACATGCAGGAAAGATATGGAAGGCCGAAGTGAGACAGCAGGTACTTTCTTCTTGTCTTCGGATGTTTCTGCTGGAAAGCAAGACTGTGGGTAATGGAAGTGTTTGTGCTGGAGGCAGCAGCAGAAACCAGACTCAGGCTCTGGTGCCCAGACATCAGCTCTCTGGACGTCCAGAAGCACTCGTGACAGCAGGAGCCTCATGATTCTGGTTCTGATTCCCAACTGCTGCTCTATTGTCAGTTTGTTTGTTTTTTCCTCCCGGGGTGGTGGGGGGGTGGTGGTGGCCTCCCATCACCCCCCCTCACTTCTGATTATGGCTAAGTCAGGATCCCCAAAGGTGGGTATGTGGTGTTCTTAGAGAGTCATTCATGGAACCTATTCATCTAGTCTTTCAATAATTTTAAAAGCAATTAATTCCTTGTATTAAAATTTTTTTCTGTTTAATTTGGTTTCTGTTGCCTGCTTTGATCTCTGACTAATAAAGTGACCTAGGGTAAGTAAAGCCTTTTCTCCACCCCCTTATGTACTAGGAGTTTAAAAAAAAATATGCACATGGTACTTGAATACATTATCACACAAAAGTTCAAACATTACAAGAAAAATAAAGGAATCCAAATTTAACAGCATTTTGTTGAAAAAAAGCTTCTTTGATATGCATCCTTCTGTTCCCCTTTTCTGTACATATATACATGTGTTTATATACACATACATGTATATGTCTGTTTTACATAAATGGGACCATACTATATACATTTTTCTATATTGTACTCTTTTTACTTAATACTACATTGTCCTGGAGACAATGCCACCATTCCATATGGGTCTACTTGATTCTTTTTAACATCTGCATAGTATTTCAGAATGAATGCACCAAAATTTATTTTAAAACTATATTTGCGTTAATCTGGATTCCAACAGGAAACAGATGGCACATTCAAATTAGGATCATTTGGGGAAGTTTATCTCCAAAGGGCTAACTATATCTATAAAGGTAGGAATGGGTATAGGAAGAGCTGCAGGAGCCTGGACTAAAGAGTGGCAGAGCTGTTACTGCCTTTAGGGCAAACGTATGAAGGGAGGAGTTACTAAGCCTTAGATTTCATTGCACTGTCTGAAAATGTTACATGTTGGCTGTTGGAATTTGGTCAGCTTTGACTTTGTGGCATGTGAGTATATTTATACTCTGGAAGCTGAACACTGAACACTTTTTTCTTCAAGTTTTGAGTGTCAGAATAAAGGGGCCCATGAGATAATAAAATGTTTCTTCTGGATATTCCAAGAATTTTAAGCATAGCATAGATATTGAGATGTCATGTAGCCAATTTCTGTACTTGGATATAGGTTTGTTTTTAAATCACTGTCAAAGGTTGTGGCGGTAGTTAGAATGAATTCAGGTAGATTTAAGACACTACAACAAAAATTTATGATGTACTATATGTTGGCCAACTGAACATAAAAAAAAAAAAAGAACAGGGAAACAAAAAAAATTTAAATTAAAAAAAAAAAAGAGTTCAAATTGAAATGTTAGAAATCTTGCCGAAAAGAAACCAGAGTATTTTCAGTTGTGTAGAGAAATCAAAACTTCCTTAAATTTGAAGAAATAGATTTCACAAAATTGACCATAAGTGTGAAACTTCTCCATGATAAGGACCAATGAAAATGCCCTGAGGTTCTTTCTGTGGCATATGATACCAAAAATAAATAAAATAGTGAAAACTTTTAAGTGGAGCAATAAGGAAATTAACTACATAAAACACTGTTATAGACATTAAAGTTATAATCTGGAGACCCTACAAAAAGATGAATGAATGTGTACATGGAAAAAAGACCCAAATAAAATTATATGATTATAACTAATTAGAATATTTTACTAAGATATTTTATAAAGTAGAAAAGACATGAAAGAATATGTAAGACATAAGATCTGATATTAGGGTTGAAGGATGGGAGAAATTTATTCTTTTATATTATAGTTAAAAACAAGTATCATATTTTTTCTATAAACTATTCCAATATTTGAAAGTTCTGAACTCTGGAACTTTGGTAAAATGTCATTATTATGAATAATCCATTCATCTGTACAATTGTAGTCTTTTGCACATCTTGATGCTCCTTGCAGAATTATCCATAGATAAGTAGTATTAATCTTCTGGGTGTGCATACAATGATTTAATTAGATCTTGGTATATTATCATCAGGATAATCAGGATGCTTCAAAAAACTATGATTCCATATGGCTCATAAGTGCAAATTTTTAAGCTTGAGAAAATTATTAGGGGATTTAAAATTCCTTCTAAAACTGGGAAATATATACAGGTGATACTTACATGAACAAGAGGATAAATCCTTTGGCAAGGACCACACCATTTTGCTGAGAATTCAACCACCACAAGTTTGCATCCGGCAGCTTTCAAAAATGTTTTTAATTCATCCTGACACCAGAGCATAAATGAAGAAATATGCATAATCACTGCATCTCATAAAGCCTTGCAGAGAATAAATGACACTTCAGTTCTTAAAAACCTAAACGAGTTACCCTGCCACTATCGTTCTCCAGGAGACACACCTTTCCTAAAAGTCCCTGAGGTCACATACATTTACCTTTCTAAGTATATATAAGTGATGCATAAATCTGCAAAAAGTGATTAGGAGTGTATTTACCAAGTGGTGGTTTGTAATGATAGGTTACCTGCGGGGAGAAGTGAGATTGGCCAGTGAAAGATAAGGGGTGAAGGGTAGTGGTGGATAGTTGTTCAAGGTGGACATCTATATTTGACTTTTTTAACAAGGACCTAAACATGCATTAATAGTGAAATTTAAAACGAGAAGAAGTAATCTAACACCTTGAATCCATTTCCTGTTTTTGTTTTGTTTTGGGAGGTAATCATTACCAAAGCTGTAGTCAAACCACACATTTAAGGATTTGACATGCTTCTCACTGAATATCTTCAGTGAATTTTCCATCAGCTGTCCAGATCACCTAAGTAAAGATTTCCCTTTCTAGAACCTCAGATCATTTTATCATAATTTCCTTGCTTTATGGACAATGACTGTCCACACTAGGTTTTTCCCTCATGGCTTGTCTCCCCAACATCCTACAGAACTCAGTCCTGATTTGCTCCTGAACCTCCATGGCCTCTGACTGGGCACATGGTAAGTGCTCATGCAGTGTTTAGTTGATGAATGATTTGCTAATATAGAGTGTTCTGTTCAAGATTTATTTTTCCTTTTCTCACTGGAATTGCAACGATAGTAGCTAATGTACTCTGCACCTGGTGTCCTCTCCCTTAATCTTTACAACCACCCTCTGGAGTGGGTATTAGTTTTATCTCCATTTTGCAGATGAAAAAAACAAGTTATTAACTTTCTCCTGGTCAAGCAGCTGATTGGGGCTGCTAACCTAGGCAGCCTAATCCAGAGTCCCTTTCCTTAAGCACTACACAAAATCATTCCCTGAGTTCTTCCTAGCAATGGGATTTGCTCTCCCTCTCACTGGCCCTAATTCTATCATGTGCTCATCCCTGGACCAATCATTAAGATGGGGGGATGGGATCATTAATTAGATCAAGTCAAGCAGGGTCTATCATTGGAATTAGGGATGGGGTTAATTCCATACAAATGGCATAATGCTCTGTAATAGGGGAATCTTGACAATTATGTTGCCATTTGGTTTAGTTTCAAGCAGATGAAACAGATGACTTAAAGAAGATATGCTCTCTTTCTTTACCCATATTCCTCTAGGATGGGGGTTACTTAACTCCTCAAGAGAGCTATGCCAAGCTTCCATTTCTCACTTGCTTCTGAAATTATACAGTAGATGCCATCCTCACAAGCCCTCAACGCCCTTACTTCTCAGCAGTTGCTAGGGTGTAAACTGGCCTAGCGGGATTCACGAATTTGACTTGGCTAAGTCCTCTGAAGGGAATACCCCCATAGGATACATACTGATTTGACAAGTACCTATTGAGACTGATGCTATGCCAAGTAATGGACACACTGTTAGGATACAGCTGTGTACAAAAAAAAAAAAAAAAACAGAAAAACATTTCCCTGCCTTCTTGGAGCTTATGTTTAGAGGCAGAAGCCGATGGTAAGATCAGTAAGTAAAATATGCAATGTGTTAGTGATCATTGCTAATAAAGACAAAAGGAGAAAGATAAAGCTGAAAGGAAGGAAATGAGCTGGATTGGAGTTGTAGTCTGGGTGGCCAAGGTCCACCTCAAATAGAAGGCGACATTTGGATACAGACATGAAGGAGACAACAGGCCCTCAAGAGAGGTCTCTGAGGAATGGAGAGGGTGTTTCAGGGGGCTAGCAAGACCCTGGGTTATTCTCTGAGATTCCCAGAAAATAAAAAAAAGCAGTACCAAATACATTAGCAAATGTGTGCTATTTTAAAACATTTTCTTATAGCAAATCTATACAGCAATGCCTTCTTTCAATCTGATCAGCCTCATTTTTGTGACCTTATATATAGCTGTGTTTGGTGAAAATATCAGAAGTCTAAGTCAGAAGATGCTGATGGATGGCAGGCCCAGGCCCTATGCCTTCCCCCTTCCCTCCAGGTCCACGCCTCCTGTAACAGGGCCCAGCATCGGAATGTCTGGGTTCTAATGTCCATTTCCCTCCAATATGGTGTAGGACCTTAACCACTCTTTTAGAGGCAAATTTCTTCTTTATACATAAAGAAATCTCCCTAGCCTATCTATACATTTAGATTTTTTGTGGCAGTAACACTGGATAATGGATAGAAAATGGCTTTATAAAATACCACCGAAGAAATTGTTGATACTATTGACTGTCATTTTTCCTACCCTATTGCATAGGCATGTCTGAGGTTTCTGCTTTCTAGAATAAGAGAAATATACGGACTTTTACTTTCATAGAGCGTTCCAGGTACAACTAAGGTGGAATCAGTGGGATCAGGTACAGGACAGGATGTGTTAGGAGTTGGCCTGGATTCAGCTAGAGTCAGAGGAAGAAATGAGAATCAGGGAGGAACAAAACCCTTTTGATCAATTCGTCCCTTGTCTACTCTCTACAAAGTGCCATCCCTCGAGCAATAAAAAGGAGAGCAAAACTTAAAAAAATCTCCTCTTGCTACAGAGCAGTGAAGGAATATTAATAGAGGAAATCATTCTTAAAGTTTATCAAATCTGTTCTCAAGGTGGTCTCTTTTGAAATATCAGTGAAGCCAAATAAATACTTGCCATGTCTTTAATAATCTGAACCATGATTTACTGGGAATTGCTGACGAAACCTGCCTGTTGGTTCAGTTGGCTCACCGTAGCGGTTTCTCATTAAAGGATTCTAGCTGGAATAGAAGGATAACTTCTCTATGACATCATTAAACATGACATCTCAGAACCTAGAACTTTGGCAGACTTGAAGCAAATTTCACTTTTCAGTCATGACTAGGTAGTCAGCCTGTGGTTAGCCAAGAGCCAGCCAACTGCAGGCCTTGTGTGCAGACCCAATAATAAGTCTGTCTACTTTTGATCTTTTGTCATCTATTTCCATGACCCCTCTTCCTTTTCCACACCCTGCAATCACCAAATGAGAAATAAGCAAGCGAATATTAAATAGATGAAGATTACTTTCATTTAGAAGTTTGAAGGGATTATTTTGCAGTTGAGAAAAATATGAAAGCCTTAATCCTATAATTGTACGTTTCCTATAAATTAGGTTTTATGAGTCATAGATTCCTTAAACTTTGTAATTTTGCTCTAATTATTTAGGAGGAAATGAAATATCACTTTTATGGACTGGATCACGGGTTGGCAAACTTTTTCTGTAAAGAACCAGATAATTTGGGCTTTCTGGACCACATGCATGTGGACTTTGTTACCTATTCTTTGTTTTCATAATCTTTTAAGAATGCAAAAACCATTCTTAGCTGGCGGGCCATACAAAAACAGCATTTTGCCAAACTCTACACATGGTGATTTGTCATTTTTCAGAATTTAACATTAGAAAATAACCCAAAGGTGGCCATGACCGATGTTCCCCAAATCTTCTTCAGAGAAATAACAAGAAAAATGAAAGAAGTTGCAGAATTCTAGAATAACACAAAAACAGCAAAATCCTCCTTTCTGGCCTCTCCATACATCCAGTCAGGTCTCTCAGGAATGAGTTGCCTGCTTTTCCTTTTTTGTATGTATTAGATGAAGTACGCATATTTCCTGTATGGCCACAGGCCAACTTGGCTTTTGTAGCAGATATCAACAGTCACCTCCCAGTACCTGCTTCCTCCACTTGCCACCAAAAATACACTGATTTTCCTGTGGGTGAATTTATTCCTCTTCCATTTTATAGCAGCTATGCAGATTGTGTGGGATTAATCTAACCCTAAATCCAGGGTTAGACCCTCATTATCTTAATCCACCAACAATCTTACCTTTAGGTCAAGAGTTAATAAAGAGAGAAGCAAGCAAGAGAATGCCATTTCTACCACCTCTGACAGCGTCAGTAAAACTGTCTCTTTCCTCATCTGGATATAAACAAGATGCTGGCTGGCAGCTCCTACAAAACACACAGGAACCCAGTTTTTGTTTAAGGCCAATATTCCACAAAGATGTGAGGACACATCGAAGAAAGTTGGGGTTTTGGTGATACCTTGATCCATTGGATTAAGCGTGGCCAGATGCTTAAGCTAAGTCTGAAATGTTCATTTCCACAATAAATTCCTTTATACTTTAAACTGGATTAAGGTGGGATTTCTGATAGTTACCCGGGAAGTATTCAGATACAATATTATAGAAATTTCTCCACTTGAGTCAAACTGCAAACACTGTGACTAACATCATCATGGGTGTCTTAAAATTTCTCACATGAGGTATGTGGTAATAGACCAAAATCTAACTTCAGGGAATTTAAATTCTGGTTTCTGATATATCCAGGCTCAAAATATTCATTAACGTTCTGGAATACCCAGGGAGAACGTAGAAGGAACATGAGCTTTGGATTCAGACAAATGTTATCTTTCCACTTCATAGTATATGACAGGGGCTACACTTGGAGAAAATAAGTTGGTTTCAAATATGAAAGCTGCTCTTTTGAGATCTCGAGCAAATTACTGCTTATTTCCTCATCTGTGAAATGGGTATAATGTCCACCTCATAGGGATGTGGTGAGAATGAAGAGAGATAAAAAAAAAAAAAATCTAGTCACATGTGTACAAGTCCTAGCCCAAGCCAGCAAAGACATGCATTTCCTTCTGGATTCCCAAGTTCATGCTTCAGAAAGGCCTTTCTTACCTCTTAGAGAATAGAAAGCAAACAGAAATTCAATGTGCTCCCTTTTGAGCTGGCAGAACTCTAAAAAGAGAAAGAAAACCTAGCTGCCCACAAGCCTCTGATGGCATGCTAGGCTGGCCATACCAGAGTGTTGGCCAACATTTACAAACTAAATGTTTTCGGAATAAACAAAGCCTCTTATTCGTCTTGACAAAAGTCATAAGCTCTGGCAGCACTGGGCCTGTAGTCTTGTATTGCATGAGAACTTGGCAGGTGGACAGTAGTGACCGCCCCTCTGGAGGGGGCATACTCTTTCCAGTTAACCACTATCCCCACCATCTTTTACCACTTTAAGAACTCAAGGTAGAGGGGCGCCTGGGTGGCTCAGTTGTTAAGCGTCTGCCTTCGGCTCAGGTCATGATCTCAGGGTCCTGGGATCGAGACCCGCATCAGGCTCCCTGCTCGGCGGGAAGCCTGCTTCTCCCGCTCCCACTCCCCCTGCTTGTGTTCCCTCTCTCGCTGTTTCTCTCTCTGTCAAATGAATAAAATCTTAAAAAAAAAAAAAAAAGAACTCAAGGTAGGGTGGCAAGGTGCCTTTCTGTTGTGAGTGTGCAGCTACTTGACCTCTACTACAATAGGTATTTGAAGTATTTCTAATGTTATTCCTCTCTTTGCCTCTAGGGTGGCCCTACTTATTTATACTACTTGCCTGGCTTCGACTGGCATTTGAGTTTGAGACCCCTGACGCTGATGTTTCTACCATTACAGCCAGGAATTTTCTGCCTGGCCATATACTGAAGATCTTATCATTTCCTTCTCCTTTTCTTTCTTTTTCATCCAAGAGGGAGAGATGGATGTTGACACATACTGAACATCCTCCAAGCCCCCAGTTAAGAATCACTGCTTTGAAGTGTGGGCTTGGTTCTAGGCATCACTTTACTTAGGTTACCTTGCAAGTACCCAGTTAGTTAAGGTGATTGTGTCTGCTCCAGAGGTGAGATGATCAAGGTACAGTACTGCAAGTTTAGACAAGTTACCTTAGGCAAAATTAATTTAGAATTCAAGTCTGGGTCACCTGTCACTGTCACACAGGGAGGAACATGGGGTCAGCTAAAAATATGCAGGTCTCTTAGAAAGCCATTTAGCAATGGATGAACTGAACTTGGGGAGTGAATTTCTTTTTTCTCTGCATCAAGACCACATCTGTCATTTCTACCTTCCTTTTCCCCATACAATTAGCTCTTCCTGAACTTTCCTCCACTGCATTTGTAAAGAAAGTAGTACAGAATTAACTCTCAGGCTGCTGTACCAACAAACTCCTGCCACAGGCTGGGGTCTCTGGAAGTGAGCAAGGGAGGGCCAGTAATTCTGCCTTGTCAGCACTTGTAGACTTTTCCACAGAATTTGCTCGTACTGTCAGAGTATAAGTTGACAGCTCACAGAAATCTGTTTATTCTTAACTGGAATTAAGCACTATTAAAACCCAGAAAATGGCCAGCTTCATAAAAATGGACACCTTTTTTTATGGTTTGCAGAGAAAGTGCTTAGTCGGTAAATAGGGCACAGTTCAAGTCCTGGAAAAAAGCTCCTGGTCAAGTCTTTTCTAGAAAAGAGCAACCAGCCTTCCCCTTTGCACTTGACTGCCTTCTTTGTTTCCCTGACATGCACTCACATGTATTTTCCTAGACTCATTTCTGACCTCATTGTTGGAAGCAGGAAGCTTGTATGTAGTCTGGGTGGAGTCTCTGAGAAGTCAGGGGGTGTGTGTGTGTGTGTTTCAGTTTATCCAGGGTGGAATCCTGAGAGTGGGGTTGCGAATTTTAAACCTTGAAAAAATTGACAAGAAAAAACAGAGTGGGCAGAAGAGAAGTAAAGAGAAAAAAAGCTGATGAGAGGAAAAGGGAGAAAGGAAGGGCAAAAGAGAGAAAGTGAAAAAAAAATTTTTAAAAGAAAAAAATAAATAGATAAATCATTCCTATACATTACTTGGAATCCACCTCAGAATTTACAGAGGCACAGCAGAATGGTAAGTACCATAGGGGCGCCTGGTGGCTCAGTCGGTTAAGTATTTGACTCTTGATTTCAGCTCAGGTCATGATCTCAGGGTCATTAGATCGAGTCCCACATCAGGCTCTGTGCTGGGCGTGGGACCTGCTTGAAATTCTCTCTCTCCCTCTGCTCCCCCCCTGCCACCCCCCCAAGAATGTTAAATACCACAGAAGTAGGTAAATAACTAATAGAAAATTCAGGTCATTATTAGTCTTATCCTAAGAAAAAAAGTCAGTTTTGTGCTCTTTTACCAAAAGCCCTGGTGAAATCTTCCTCTCTGTGGAGGTTTGGGCTTTGGGTGAGCGCTGGGAGGGAGTAACTCAAGGATATACGCCAGGGAAAGATAGGAGGGGCTTCTCTAAAGCGCTTTGCAGGAGAGGTGGCGGACTGGACCTACTACTAGTGTCTTACCATTCAGTATGCTCCGGAGACCAACAGTATCAGCATCACCTGGGAATTTGTTAGGGGGAGGAGCTACAGGAACAACAACAAGAAGAAATGCAAGAAGGAAGATTAGGGAATTGCATACAGAAAGGATAAAGGATTTACAACTAGGACTTTCTTTATGTGCAGGAGAAGGGTGAATTCTCTTTAGTGCTGTAAAACCTTGCTAGTCAAGGTCACTTGTAAACAGTGGCATCACTTGGGAGCTTGATAGACATGCAGAACTTCAGCTTCCATCCCGTACTCACTGCATAAGAATCTGTTATTATAAGGTTCCCCAGGGGATTCTTGTGCACAACGATTTTGCAAAGCAGGGCTCTGGAGGTATGTTTCTATCAGGGAGCTGTCGGTGAACTGAGGACCAGGAGCACAAGCATTAGCATTGCCTGAGAATCCTGAGAAATGCAAATTCTCAGGCCCCACCCTGGACCTGCTGAATCCCGAATCTCTGAGGGGAGGGCCCAGATGGGTAGGTTTTAACAAGGAGTCCAGGTGATTCTGCTGCA